AATCTATGATTACTAAGAGTATGAGGCTTGCGGATGAAAATCATCCTACCGAAGTGTTAAGAAGACTTTAAGTTTTATTCCTAGAGAATAGTTATCCCTTGAGCTTGATTGATGATAATGTATCTTTAATGAGGAATAAACTTTCAGGCACCTTTCTTGCCCTGTAATTTCATTATTAGCTTCTGACGAATTTGATCTAAACTAAAATTATGGTATCCAAAATGCTACTCATAACTAGAGGTTGACATTTTTACATTTTCTGACTGGTAAATTCATCTCATTTTTTGCGCTCAAAGACGGATTTTTTCAGTATTATTTGGGCTTGAAGGCATAATCAATCTCTTTTGGCTTTTCGTTTAATATTTTTCTTGATACGTGGGGCAAAATTTATCCAAACAATCTAGACAAAATGGGTCTTGGTTTCCTCTGATATTGGATAAACTGATGGTGAAAGTATACTTCTGTCAAGGGTTTATAGGAATGAAAATCCGCTTTTTTGAAATCCTTTAATATGACACAAGCGGAGATCCGAATCGAAGGCTCATAGACCCCCAGTTAGACAGTAATTTTCATGTGTAGCAGGGTTTAACTGTCAAGTTGGGTTGAGGAGGGCTAAATGGAATTGTCAATTGGGTTTCTGAAGCCCTACAGGTGGCATCTGAAATCGTTGGGGAAGGCGATTGTGTTTCACTAAATTTACTTGAAGTGAAATTGGAGCAAACAAATATATATAATTGTATGAATGGGTAAATGTGCCATATAAAGTTGGGTTGAAAGATGTGGAGGCAGAACTAGAGGCTGGGAAAAGTGAGGGAGGAGTGTTGCCAAGACTGTCGAGCAGAAAACTGTTTAATTGGAATGTCCTCACTTGTCATTTTTGTAAGTTGTAACTATGTGCAAAGAATGGCGCTTCTGACTGACAATGTCGGCGAAATGTCTTTGCATGTACCAAGTCAACCGTCTGCTGCTACAATTTATCATCAATACTAAGCAGCTTCCACAAAGTCTCCCTGTAGCTCGGACCAAGTTGCGAAGACGAGGTTAAATCAACATTATCATTTTGCTAGTTTGTGTTTGCGGGTGTCTTTTGTCTGTATATATTGTCATATTCTATCCTCTCTGCTGTCTTCTACAAGGCTCTTCCGGCAGTTCCGCAGCCTCGTTCTCGGGTCTCCCGCCAATGGGCTCCGGCTCTTCCCTCCGTCTTCCCGCTCCCATCACCAGCAGCCAATTGCCTGTGTCCCGCGGCTTGCCCAGATTCGTGGCTCCACTCGCCTCACCACGGCCCACCACTTCTCAGACGCAGGCTCTCGAGCCTCTTCGAACCGTCGCTGCAGCAGCCTCAGCCACCCTTCCACCGACCCAACGCCTCCGAACTGGCCTACCGATGCGAACTCGCTTGCCAACCAGCACTCTCATCCCCGGCTCATCTGACCGCTCGGGTTCCGGCTCCGCAGGCACTTCAACTACCATCCGCGCAGCCTCCACAGGGTCCGGCCTGCACTCCCACCAACTGCTGCCGCCACCGCCCAACCCTAGCCGAAGTAGCGGGCCAGTTCAGGCGCCCTCATTCGTTCGCAGCCTTCGACTTCACGCCAAACAATTGCCAGGGCAACAGACATCTGGGCCTAGGAAGTAGCCTTCTACTTCTAGCTGCGCGTCTGCCAAAATGGCGCTCTTCGAGTGGCACTAGCATTCATGATTTGCTTCTCCCTATTCCTACTCTTTTCGTGAATGTCCTGACAAGCCTTTGGGGCAGATCCACTGGACCAGCTATTCTGAGGTCTGGGAAGAATGGACAACAACTTTGCAACCTTAGAAGTATGCCCAACGATGATTGTTTTTCGTACTATCCTTATATGCCTTGTCTTTCTTCCCTTTGCCCACATCCTATTATCTTTTTTTCTCTGGATCTCACTTTTGTCTATTAGTGTTCTCACAGTCTCTTTCATTAGTAGCCTATTTAAATTGGATTTTTTCTTCTCATCATCATCATCTTCACCGACTGCCAAATTGAGAGCAATAACACCTTTTTTAGCACCAAAGCTTCATTCTTCCGTCATAACTTCTTGC